TCAACTTCGACCAAATATTCGGACTTGATCTGATAGTCAAATTGCAAAAGTAAATAGACTAACTTATTCTACTCGTCGAGTAGATCGTCGTGGTATATTTAGAATCTGGAAACCAATTTCGGATGAATGAGAAATTGCCAAAATTTAAAAAATGAAGTGTTGCAACTTTTCGAAAGGTGCAGGTTTTGGTTAAATGTTGCAACTTTTTTGAAAGGATGCATGTTTTGGCCCACATTACTTCATTTGCACCCTTTCTACATCTATAAATAGAATCTTATGGATATGGTTTTGGACGCACCAATTGCATTGAGCATTCATTCTCCTCTTGCAATTCTTTTCTTTCTAATTATATAGCATTTCATACATTTCCTTTGTAGAGGGAAAATTCTGTCAAAAGTTCATCGATTTCTTGTGGTTTGAAGTGCAGTTACCACAAGTTGTGAATTCATTGTATCTTGGTAGACAAGTGTCATTCACTGTGAGCACCGTAGCGGGGCAATTTGTCTTAAGGAAAGAGATAATGTCTTGTCTTAGATTATTCTCTATTTCTATTCCTTCTTAATCCTTGTTTTGTGTAATCTTTATACCGAAACTCTGTCCAAATTTTCATTCATATAAATTGTGTTTTGAATACACTCTTACATGTTAAAATTGGTCAAACAAATATATCAAAAATCAACCCTTACATGACCCTTTTTATAAGTCGTCTCCAACACAAACTACTACCAGCTATTGAGTATTTGTTCGTTCGAAACCTGCAAGCGTACAGAATCGTTAACAAGTAATAATGTAATGAATAAAGAGTATTGTACTACGAGAAATAATCTCTAATTTAAATATACTAGTTTTCTATCAAGTTCGAATTATTGTGACAGAAAGAGATTGTTTTGTAATGAATTTAAGTTATTTTACGAATTATGCCTTTGTTTGACAGTCATTTTTTTCCATCAAAATATATTCTTCGACAATGATTCGATTTCATTTCAGCCACACATTTTTAATAAAATAATATTACACTTAAATTAAAAAAATTATTATTTTTTAACTACATATTCTTCATCGTATCACTATTGCAAAATATATAAAAAAAAAAATTGTTTTTGTGTGTAATTGCTTCGATAATCTGTTATTATCTGAGGTGAGGTTCAATGTTTTTAAAATTGATCCAAAAAAAGATAAAGGGTCAATGGTGGAAAAGTTCAACCGAATTAAATCAGGTTGAATTGAAAAAAAAATAACTAATTAAATATATGTAAATTGAATTCTGCTACACGTACAAGGAATCTTCACAGGATTTTTTTCACAGACAACACGTGTAGAAACAGCATTACAAAAAAAAAAAAAAGAAAAAAAAAAGAAACTGACGAACAAGATTGTGCCACAGCAGCTGTGAAAAATTTAAATATATGTAAATTGAATTCTGCTACACGTACAAGGAATCTTCATAAGATTTTTTTCATAGACAACACGTGTAGAAAAAAAAAAAAAAACCTGACAAACAGGATTGTGCCACAGCAGCTGTGAAAAATTCCCTGTAGTTAGAGAAAAATTCATGTAAATTAATAGATAATTACTTTTTGTGTATTTTAAAATAAAACTTGAATTAGTAACTAAATAATAAAGACATAAAGTCTTAACTCTTTAATACTTGTGTCAAAGACTTCATATATTTTTCCCGTACGCATACTTTCTTCATTCATAGTCGTTATTTAAATGTAAAATCACTCATTACTCTCTCTCCTTTCAGTAAAATCAATCGCTATCTCTCTCTATAACAATTTGGAGAATAATGACATATCTGCCAGCGCCAACTCTTCTTTTTAACGTTCATAGATCTGCCGACTGCTCTTCATGCCAATGCTTAGTGATCCATAAACCGAGAATAACTTATTTATCGATTTTTTAGCAATCGGCATTATCACTTAATCGAACCGGATTCGACTTTGGACCACAGTTTCACCGATCGAATCGGTCAGTCAGGTTCAATTTCGACAACATTTAGTAAGTTAAACATATTCTAAACAATCCTTAAGGCCAACTAGGCCACTGCCTTGGGCCTCACTATTTCAAAGGGCCTAAAAAAATGGCCCAAAACCCAACCCATTCAAAATCCATCAATTCTCTAAAATATTAACACATTTACCTTGTGCTTAGAACAACTTAAAATCCCATTAATGCACATTATCCGGCGTATAAATTGGCAACATGAAGGGTCTTGTCCAAATGTCTTTTGAAATTGATGCCTAAAAAGATGTGGCCATAAAGTTGGCTGTTAGATCAGATGAGAATGTTAGTGACGCAATCCACAAAATAGTTGTAAGCGAGTGGTCCCGTTGTCCCCATTTTTCAAATTCTTTGACTGAGGTAAACTAATTCTTAATTTTGTCTAATGTCAAATGAGAATAGGGGGTTTTAATTGGTAAAAATTTCTTCTTTGGTAAATATGTTCATAATTGCCTTCATAGTGGATTTGGCTTGTTTTATAATTCAACATATTCTTACATTTCTTTATTTATTAATTTCTATGCACAATTATTGCATTTGAATTGGCTCCATTATTTGATAATTACGCTTAAGAGTCTCAAAATAATTAGTCACATAGGACCTCAAAATTCTTGGGGTTGGTCCTGTTGATCCTATTCTTAGTTCGAATTGATTCCTGTATTGCTTGAGTGGTAACCATGCAATATTTTAAACCTATTGTGGGCATTTCAGCAATACAACAAAGTGGCTAATTATTTAAATAATATGCATGCGTTTAAATGATGTAACGAGCATACAAGATTAATTAAGAAACACGAAAATTAATTGAACTACTTGTTTTTAAATTAAAATAAATAAACAAAGGCTACATGCTCGTGGGAGATTATGTATCTACGTATTAGTATCTATTCTCAATTATCGACTATAATCGATAATTCTTTATTATCTAAATATCTCTTTCAAGGTAAGTTAAACATATTCTAAGCACGATTAAATCTTATTCCTAATTCGAATTCATATACAAAATAACACATTCAACCACATGATTATCTATGAGTTTGTACACGGCATACATATTATTCTTAATATATATTGTCCGTGTGATAACTATGCAATGTTCTAAGCTTGTTATAAGCCTCCCAATACTACAATAAGCAATTAATTATCTAAATGTTTCACAAGCATTTAAATAATGTAACGTGCATGCAAAATTAATCAAGAAACACAAAAAAATAATTTATACTTGTCTTTCAATTAAAAATAAGAGAACAAATAGTTCATTTTCATCTAATACGGGGTAAAAATTACATAAAAAGATGTAAAAAGACATCACCCAGGATAAGAACAGTGAAAGAATCTTGATATGTCAATTTCTTGTTCTTAAATCTTGAATTCGAACCTTGAATTTTTAAATTTTTTGTGTTAGTCGCCTAAAATCCCCTTGCAGGACTTCTTTCTCTTCGTTATAATGTGATATGATACATTCTTGACATTCTCATTCAAATTAAATAACGGCTAGAGCCTAGAAGTTGATAACATAAAGAGTTGGACTAAAAAAAGGAAACTGGCTCTATTGCGACCCTTGGCCTCTTTGGCTTCAGGTTCATCATATTGAGCCCTTGCGTGCAATCAGCATTATCTTGGTGTGCCCGCAAGCTGCTACTTTTTTGGGTTGATCCCTAAATTTCTCGATGGCATGTCTGAGTTCCTTTCATGTAATTTCTGTCATTTATCTTCCATTTGCATTTAATAGAGCCTGTATGATCTTCAATAATTGTTTTGTGGTCCCAATCAACTATTAAATGTTTGCAATTTAATCCTCGAACTTCTGATTTTTTTTCTTTTTTACCCGTTTCTCGTTCCTTCATTCTAATTTCACTATAAAGCATCAATTTTACCTGATAAACAAGATTTACACAAAATCAAGCTATAATTTATCAAAATCAATAACAAATGATTTAATTTAATGATCTAGATAAGTGTACTTTGTACACTTATCAGTATTACGTCGCAAGCATGAATTACAAAAATATGTCTACAGAATCTTTTTGAAAGAAAATAGGTATTGTAAAAGGTAGACAAAACATGAATATGATTTTGAAAATATGATATGTCGATTAACATATATTAATCTCTTGCCTTTTTCTCTTTGGGTGGTTATTACCCAACCCAACGAAAACAATAAAATTTCAACAAAATATAACCACCATTGTTTTCCCCGCCACAGATTCAACCGACACAGAAACAAGAATATTGCACATTGAAAGAGCTACCATCAAAATATGTACAAAAATAAAAATAGATCCTAACCATATATAATTTGATCACAACTCAAATTAATTCTTCAACGAATGAGCTTTTGGTCTAGGAAACCTTGTCGAAAACTATAACTTACAAAAATGTCAGTTGTATTCTCTCGACCTACAGCTGATATGAGCTCCCACAAAAGTGTGCCCGTCTCATAGAAGCTTTCTCTTACCCTTCCGAATTGCAAGCTGAGAAGCATCTGCATCTCGATTTTCAGGGGAGTCTTCAACTACCGTCTGCTCGTGCCTAACCAAATCTCGGTTCCTGGACAATTTCTTTATGGGTGTTGTAGGATATATTGCTTGAGCTTCTTCAGAATCTGAATTTGGTTGCACGCTCACCTCATCCCTGTGTGGCATTAGTTCCTCGCCATCCTCAACAGAATCCAACATTAACTATAAGTCAAGAACAACAAGAAGCTTGTAAGGAATTAAAATTTTATGGTACCAAATATCAAAATTTAAGGTATGAGACATGAAGCAAAGGAAATATCAGATCTGATGCCAACATATAGACATAAAAAGAAACCTTGAAGGTATAAAAATATGCACACCTCTCTGTGATTATCTAGATGACGGATTAGGTACAACAAAATTAGGAGAAGAAATTGGACCTTTCTCCTGTAAAATATTCAGTTTATAATGCATGCCTAAAGACAATTAGTTCACATTAAGCCCCTGTTTGTCCTCCTTTAACAAATTAAATTGTTTGCTACAGTAACATTTTCCACCATACATTTACATAATAAAATATTCTACACACAAATCAATAAAGTTTCTTTAAATTTTAACCACATATTTTTCAAAAAATACTATTCAAAACTCTATAATTTCTCCCATAATGGGAGACAAAGAGGCTCTAAGATATCATTTGCATTCCATGTGAATGACAATATTCATGGTTGCTAAAAAGTCTAAAGGCGCACTTGTCAAAGCTCATATTACAAAAAATTGTAAAATGTAACGAGAGACGTTAGAAGCGTTGGTGACAAAAGCTTCATGTAGCATTTCAAAGTACCTTCCAGTCTCCAAAATCAAATCTGAAAGAAAAATGGCTGTAAGAGACCTCTCCAGATAGAATGGCATTGGCACCAGGGGCATTCTTTGGGGCTGAAAGAAAGAATTACTGGAGTCAAAAGGAAACATATACCAGAAAGAAAAGGAGAATTTACTACATGGATTGTGCAGGAAGAGTCTTACAAACTAGATGACAGCCTTCTTCACCCACTGTTATTTCAGCCCGCCCATCTTTAACGAGAAAGGAGAGGGCAAACAAATTTTCCACAGTTTGTGCAAAGGAATTCCTGTTTAATATTAAATTTTGAAGATTGACCTTCCTATTTTTCCTTAGAATATCAAACATTGTGGCCATATTTCTATCAGTGTCTGTTTTTCCCTCTGTTGCAGATTCATCGAGCTGCAGAATGTTAAAAAAATGTCAGTTTAATTTTGGGGGAGGGAGAAATGAAGGGAAAGTAAGTAATCCTCAGTAAACTAACAGACACCATCTATTGCTCTACCCTCTTAAATAGCATATGGAATAAAAGGAACAAGAATGTGCATAGAGGAAAACAGGCAAATGCAAGAGGTGTTTTATGCTAATATAGCAGGCCTTGAGTTCATGTAATAATCGGTCTCTGCACCATTTATTTTCCTAACTTTTTAGATTGAAAAATAATTTTACAAATTTTTATCTGGTAGGGGCAAACGACCTGTTTGTCTTTGTTCACAATCAACCACTCAACAACTGATTCTAAA